TCAGAGGTGCCATCTCCCCTAGGAGTCAAACCTCAGTTTGACTCGGTCAGAGGTGTGAGAACAGGTCACACTTTGGGGAGAAGACGGCGAGTCATGGCCAGTCATCCCAGCCCTGTTGGGCATGGAATGAGAAGGAAGAGAAGTCAGAGCAGCTGGTGCGAATTTTGTGTTTGCCATTTCCTAGGCACTATGCTGAGTCTTCAAGGGTGTTTTCATTTAGTTCTTGCAGTGGACCTAAGAGGTCTGGACTATCATCCTCCTCCCGTAGAGGAGACAAGCTCAGAAGGATTGTGTGATTAGGCCACAGCCTCACTCCAGGCTGCAGCCTCACACTAGCCCCTCAGTCAGTAAGTGGCAGAACCAACATCTTTCTCATGTCAAAGCCCTTGTTCTTCGTCACTGTGTTAAACTTGCCTCCCCTGGGGAAAGCCTCAGCCACAGAGGCAACACTGAGTAACATGGGGAAGGCCTGTGTTTGAGGACTGGCTGGTAACCAGAGCCATTTCCACACACTCTGAGGGTGAAGTGACAGCATCAAGACCTATGCATGCTCTACCCCCCAGGGCAGGCCAGGGTCCAAGAGCCACAGGCAGAGCTCACCAAGGACAGCAGGGGAGACCTCAGCAACACCAAGGGGGGAAAGATAGGGAAGGGCAGTTGTTTCTGTTGGACACCCACCTTTGGGTCCCTGAAGGCCAAACTAGAGCTCCTTCCTTAAAACCATTGTCACCCTGTCCAGCTGTCCTCTGCTGTCCCTGCAGGCCGCCACCAATAAGGAGAGCAGCCATGCACAACAGCAGGCCCTGGCTCGGGAGAAGCAGCATATGGAGCATGCCCAGGCCCTGGAGGCCCAGATTGCCTCCCTGGAGAGAGCACAGGCCTCCAAGCAGGCCACTGCAGAGCAGGGGATGGTGAGTGAAGAGCAGGGTGTGTCCAAGCCCAGCAGCTGCAGGTCCATGCAGTGAGGTCTGCCCTATGCTTGACAGAACAGCCCCCTAGCTGCACTAGGGACCACTTTAGAGAGCAGCTTTTATCTTTCCAATGAGATACCTGCAGGTGGGACTGGATGTCAAAAGTCTGCTATTTACAAAGCCCCGGTACAGATGAGTTTTCCTTTTCCTGGGGCCCTAAAGGGACTTCTGGTGCTTTCCTAGCATCCCCCCTCAGGTTCTCTTCCTTCTTTCTAGAATCCATGTTGCTCCTCCACAGTGGCTTCCTTTTCCATGGGCCTCTCCCTCCTGCACAGTCTGGAGAATCATGTGCCTCACTCTGATGCCTCCTGGGTTTTCCAAGTGGTTCTGTCTTTGTGTCCTCACCCTCATTCTCACCTTCTACCCTGCAGTGACCATAAAAAAGGGAAGGGACATTTCAAAGGTACCATGTCAGAGAGCTAGGACTATGCCCAGGGTAAATATGGTAGTTAAGATGCTTTCTTTTTATATATGTTCTACTTTGTTTGCAGAGAGAACTAGAGCGAGAAAATGCATCCCTTAAAGAAAGCAGGAATGAATGTGAACGTGCTTTACAACATCACCAGTTTGAACTAAAGAAGCTAAAGGTAATTATCTAATTGAGTCAGAGTTTCACAAAAGTGTTCCTGCCCTTCACATGTGTGTTTAGAGTGGCCAAGTGGAGAAGGAATGAGACTAGCATTTGTGCAATAGTTCTATTAAGCAAGGGCTAGAAATTGTCACTTCATTAAGTCCTCTCAGGGATCCAGGACAGTAGGAAGGACTGTGGTCATTTGGCAATTAATATCATTGAGATTTTTAGTGAAAATAATTTGTCCAAGTTCCAAAGTTCATTAGAGGAGGTGCTAGTCTGACTTTTCACTCCACTGCAGAGGCCCAGCGTTTCCTCCATGTCATTAACAGGTGCCTAAAAATAACACTGTCAGAGCACCATTCCTGCAGATTTTTTCCAGTGAGGCCTTAAAGCAAGGCCTTAAATAATCATAAGGACCTTTGTTTTGTTTGTATCAGGAACATGTACAGAAATGAAGAAATAATCTGCTGGATTGTTACCCTTCCCCTTCTATAAACTTGGGGCTTTAATCTTCTTCATTCTTTCATGCCTTTAGAATCCATATTGCTCTTCCCCAGTGGGTTTTTCCATGGCCCCGCTCTCTTCTGCACTGGATAAAGAGGAGAAAGACATTCTACTACTTTCTAATAGGCCCCCAAGTTTCCCTGGCCCCTATAAAGCACCCTTGGATGATGGATCATTACTGTAGTGCTTGCCCAGGTTGGTCATGACTCCAAGATCTCACAGACCCTTTAGCATAGATCTTCCCTGAGAGCACCTACAGCTGAGTACCTATAGATTTATTGGCTCTGCTACATTACTCAGGCACTAACACAATATTGACACATCATGGGAAGCATGGACTTTGGAGTCATGTTTTTTCATGTATTCCTTCAACAAACATTTAAGTACTTGTAAGTACCAAGTACCATTGGAGGTGTTAGGATGTGGCAGTGAACAACAAAAAACATTCTTCCCCTGTGGAGCTTGTAACTAGAGACAGTAACCAAGTGACAAGTAGTAATAAATGCTTTGAAGAAGAAACAGGGGCAAGGACATCTAGGAGGGAGGAAAGAGCTTTCCAATGTGAAGAGTGGAAAAGACTTTGGTGATGTTTGAGTAATACTGAACAGTAGGGTGGATATTTGAGAAGGCATGGTCCAGACAAAAGAAATAGTCAATATAAAGGCTCTGAGGCAGAAGAAAGCTTGGTATCTACAAAGAACAGCAGAAAGGCCAGTGTGGTGCAGCTCAGTGACAAGGGGAGAACACAGCTGATGGCAAGAAGGGAGGCAGGCATTAGAAAACACCACGAGAAGGCTCCATGACTGTGGCTCAAGCAGCTAAGGCGCCAGCCACATACACCAGAGCTGGCGGGTTCAAATCCAGCCTGGGCCTGCCAAACAACAATGACAACTACAACCAAAAAATAGCCGGGTGTTGTTGTGGGCACCTGTGGTCCTAGCTACTTGGGAGGCTGAGGCAAGAGAATCACTTAAGCCCAGGAGATGGAGGTTGCTGTGAGCTGTGATGCCACAGAACTCTACCTAGGGCAACAGCTTAAGGCTCTGTTTCAAAAAAAGAAAATACCATGAGAAGCCATGGCAGCTCTTCATCAGGAAAGTGATGTGGAAAGTTTTGTTTTAAAGGCATTTTTCCTAGGCCACAACAGTGGCTCACACCTGTAATCTTAACTCTGGAAGGCCGAGATGGGTGGCTTGCCTAGCCAGGTGTGATAGGCACCTGTAGTCCCAGCTCCTCAGGAGGCTGAGGAAAGAAGATCTCTTGAGCCCAAGAGTTTGAGGTTGCTGTGAGCTATAATGTGCCATGTGGCACTCTACCCAGTGTGATAGAGTGTGAGACTATGTCTGAAGAAAAAAAAAGGAAAGAATTTCTCTGGGTTTGTGTTGAGAATGTTCTGTAAGGGAGGCAGGGCAGAAGGAGGAAGACCATTTAGGAGGTTTTTTATAGAATCCAGGCCAGAGATGACTAGTGTGTTACTAGTGGGCTTGGGAAGTATTCAGAGTCAGGATTCAGAGTTTGGAGATGGAGCTTTTAGGACTTGCCACTAATTAAATGAAGGAATGAGAGGAATGGCTCGGCACTCATAGCACAGTGAGTAGGGAGCCACCTGAAGGTGGCAGGTTTGAGCCTGGCCCTGGCCTGCTAAACAAATTGTCATTCAACTGTAACCAAAACCAAAATAGCCAAGCATTGTGGCAGGCGCCTATAATCCCAGCTACTTGGGAGGCTTAGGCAAGAGAATCGCTTAAGCCCAAGAGTTTGAGGTTGCTGTGAGCTGTGACTCCACGGCACTCTATGGAGGGTGACATAGAGAGACTCTGTCTCAAAAAAAAAGAAAGAAAGAAATGAGAGGAAAGGAGTAAGAGATAACTCCTAGGTTTGGTCTGTGTCACTCGGGTTTCTCAGCCCTGGCATTGTTGACATTGTGGCTGCACAATTCTCTGTCACTGAACAGGGTTTGCAGCACATGTGCTCTGCTGGCTGCTTAGGAGCATCTCCTCTATAGATGTCAGTAGCAGCTCCCACTGTGACAACGAAAAATATTTCTAGAATATCTGCCAAATATCTCTTGGGGGATCGCCCTGACAGAGAACAACTGGGATAACTAAATGAATAGTGGTACCATTCACTAAGAGGGGAGACAGTGAAAGGTAGGTTCCATTTGGGACATGTTGAGCTTTAGGGGCCTATCCAGGTCAGCATTATAGTAGGCTGTTGGCTCTCAAGTCTGGAGATCAGAGCAGAGAGCTTCAGGGTAGAAATTCATCAGCATCACTTACAGGTAGAATTTACTGCCAAAGGGCCATGCGATGAATGTAGGCAGAGAAGGGGACCAAAGAGCAAAGCCAGGGCTGGTCCAGTGTTTAGAGGTTCTGAACAAAAGGAAGAGCCCACAGAGAAGACTCCAGAGGAGCTGCAAGTAGGACAGCAATAAGACCAGCACAGAAGTAAAGGACAGAAAGCATTACAAGGACTGAGTAGTAAATGGGGGCATGTGCTACTGACTGGTTGAAAAAGGAAACAGAACTGACCATTATATTTGGCAAGGCTGAGCCTCAGCAAGAGCGTTCACTGTGGAGTAGTGGGATGAGGTTGAACAGAGCAGGTAAAGGTGACACTAGAGATGCTGCCAGTAAAAGCAAATTGGGCAATTCAGTCTGGATTACCCCTGAGAACTGCCAGAAAAGCTGACCAAAGTAAAAAACCATATGCTTGTAAGCATGGGGGGTCTACAAGGCACTGAGGGAAAGGCCCATCCAGTGCAGAGAGGAGAGCCCAGCATGTGGAGCAGATTTTGTCCTGGCAGAACTTGCTGATCCTAAAGAGTTTGGAAGATGATCTAAAACTTTTTATAGCTTATCAGAGTTATGGGAATAAAGATCAGAGTTTTAAGACCCACTGTGGGTCCGCCCTGGAAGGTCCTGCAGGCCTTGGTTCGGCACACCAAAGGCTGCACAGTGGGAGTGACAGTGAGTCCGAAGCAGCTAGCACTGCCCCCATCCTACCCAGCTTTTATTGTACTAATTTATAGATGGCCACAAAGGATGTTGAGATAGTAAATTTAGAACCAAGTAAGTCAGTATTTAACTAAATTCTCCAATTGCTAGACAGAGATTATCAGAATGATTTTTTTTTTTTTTTTT